CATCGAAGAGCACCGATTGTGGGAGGTCGATCGACCTCCACGGAGAGAGCAACTGCTCTCAAATATTTTGTCATCATTCGATCTGTGACATTGCAAGGGACTCCAAACTCGGAGTAGTAGGTGAACAAGGGGGTGTGGCCAGTTGTGTGTCAACTCTGTCGAAGGTGTCGGACAATGGCAATCAGCGTAGCTGTTGGATTGTCACCATTTAATGACGTGCCCAAACCGATCTTTTCGTCTGGCACCGCATTTTTTTGTTTGTCAAATATCAGACCGGCGAATGTCACAAGTGACTGTCCAGGAGGCGAAGGGGAATGACGTCGCCAGGAAATTCTGCATCGTTGATACAAAAAAACACTTGTTTCGACTTGAAAGGAAATTGCTTGCCCAATTTTGACAGAAATTTGCCAGGACGTAACAAAAAGAAAAACCCCAACCACATCAATCGATTCATTGCCGTTGCGGTGTGTGTACTTGTGGGTTTTTTGGCAAGCTTCGATGCTTGCCTTAACAAGGACTTTGGCAATGGGCGTACTCATTGTGCTGCTGGATCCTCTTTCTTCCAACTTTTCAGCAGCCGTGTCCAACGAAAGTCTATTGTTCCTGGTGCATATCGGTTCATGCTCGGATTGAGCAGTCCCAATGAGGAAAAGGCCTGGCCCACCTGGCGCATGGCATATTCAGCCGTTCGACCCCGGACCTGTCTCTTACTGGGGGCAATTTTTCCACATCGCCATTGGGTTCCAAAGAGGAGGATGATGAGCAAGGGATCGTCGACCGCTGACCAAGGGTGAGGCTGTCGCAGAAGGCAACCCATGTGGTCCAGACAGAGTGTGCCTTTGCAACTCTTGAAGGACAGACTCTGCGTTCGATTCCGAGTTCAACAGCACGGATGTCATCAAGGAGTTCACGGCGTTTGGCATCCTGTACAGTTGCCAAGAGTTGATCTGTGGATACGTGCGATTAAAATATGAGATGAATTTGGCGTCAGACAAGTGCCACAGTCGGCTAGCATCGTCGGCCATTCGATTGTTCGTTCCAGATAAGTGCCCAATACGATGATGTGCTCTTTGTTCCCGCTGTAATCCTGCCGCTAACCGTAATATTCTTGCTTTTGCCTTTCGAGAGGTGGACGATCCTTTTGTGCGCCATGACACTGCTGGTGTGTTATCACAGCCAGTGTAAGTGGTTTCGCCTTCCACCTGGGCGGTCTTCCCAAGAACAAAATGATGGAGGACGGTGCCTTCCAGCTCCAAGTCTGAGTTGGTAAGTTTTCCTGTCAGATTGTGATCGGAAATAACCTCCTTTT